TCTTTTTATTGACTTTGTAGTTTTGGAACACATGTACCATTGTTTAATCCATAAAGGTTTTGTCCAGTACTCTACAAGTTTGACATAAGACCCATTCACCATTACCATACCTGGCTCATTCACCTTCTAACAAAAAAAAATTTGTATATATTACAAAAATGGACCACCAAAACACAGTTTTATGGATTAACTGGATTATGCATTTGTTTCCATGTTTCTGACATTCCCCAAGGTTTTTAACACTTCTTTGCAGAATCCATCCAATACTGGATTTTATTCACTTGAGGATTTCTTTCACTTCATATGCAGGACAAGCTCAGCCTATTTCTTTGTGATACTGAGCTTTTGATACCAGGGCTCTCATATCTCCTTTGTTTTCAGCCTGAGTCTTTTTTATGGCTGTGGTGGCTCACTGAATCTCACATGACCCAGGATAATATTCTGTCCCAACATTACACAGACATACTTTTGTTTGGAGCTTTCCACAGCTCAGAAGTCAGTCTGTGGATTTCTGTAGTTAGTATCACACAAGTTACACTGTTTGTTCACTTTGTGTTTGATGACAACAATCCAATGACCACATCTTTCCACTGCCTCTGTTCCAGTGAAATACAATTCTAGATACTTGGTCAATTTCTGATATCCAGGGATGAAGTTTCTCTGTCTTTACATTTTTGAGCTAGTAGCTACTCGATAAGCTTGCCATCATTTTATGTCTCATCTTCTTACCATGACCCATTCAAACCCCTACTCTGTTGTTTCTTCCTTACCTTGATATAGATGCACTTGCTTGGGACCTCAGTTTTCGTGTCTCTGGACTTTCTCTTTTGGGCCCTTGGCCACCACATTCATTTGTTTATTTATCATGTTTTGAAAGCTCAGGCCCTGGTGGTGGATCAACTATCTCACCTAGGCCTGGACTTTTTCCACAGAGTGATTTCTCCATCTTCTGGTGTTTTTAGTGGATTTGCCCCCAGTATGGTTGTTCTTTCCATCTCCCCTTTACTCCTTGCTTTCACTCTTTTGGTATCCGATCCCAGACTCTACAGCTCTGGTTGAAAATGCTCTGTGTGGTTCAGTCTTCTTTCATATGCTTTTGATGTATTTCTTCCCCTACCTCCTTGTGGGAACCATTCACTCACTTTTGTTTTGGACTCCTATACTATTTATCACAGGGACAGAATCATCTTCTTCTCTGACTGTCCCAATATTTAGATGGCTTGGAAGGGTGATTGGATGTTTTCTTCATTCATCATCCCTTCCATGTATGGACACTTCAATCCAGATTGCCTCTTTGGTTCTGTACAATCTATTCATTATGATCTTACTTGTACTGCCCCTTTTTAGGGCATTTGCCAACATCTTTTCTTGTTATAAATTCCTCTTTCTCTAACAACTTATCTCCTTTCTCTTATTTTCAACGTCTCCTCTCATCATGTTTGTCATCTTGCAGTTTCTCTTTCCTCTAGCCATTGATATCCACTCTATGAGATTTGCAGGTGGGAATGTGGACAACCCCTGACACATTAGTGTCCCCATTGGGAAGTTTTGCTTACCCTGACTTACATCTGCTTCAATTGCCATTCTACACTCCTTACAATGGCTCTGATGGTGAGTTGTTTATTTTATTTCTTTTTTCAGGTCTCACAACCACTTTATTATTGAAGCAACAGAACCCATCGAGTGGCTGATGTTGTGTCAAAGAGAGTACTTACCCAAAATCCAAATCAAGTGGGAGCATACAGAAAGTGTTAAGCCCATCTGCTCCTGCTCAGTGCCTACTGTTGAGACAAGGTTTTCTATAAGACTGCTTCAGCAGTATCTATATATTTTATCTTTCAGGTCATTCTACATTTGTGAAAAAAAAGTAACAACAGCACCAGGTGTGTGTGCCTGCTCTTACACAAAGCTTGTACCTGCTGTCTTTAGTTGTAATAGCCCATTGCACTGTCTCTCAGTAAGGGACCTAATTATAGATGATTGTTTATGATATGTTCTCTCTATATAAATTCCTCCCTCCCCATTTCTTCTAGTGGAGTATGGGAGAACCAGTGTTTCTCAGTTCCAAACCACTGGGGAAGTTGATATTGAGAGCTCCTCCTCAGGCTGTGCAATCCAATCTCACTAGTATGAGACTGAGTTGATGACCCTTAGTTTGGAAAGTAGGGCTGGTAGTGTAGTACAGGTCACCCCAGTATGTTATAAACTAAGCCATTCCTAGTGCTTTGGTCCAGCTCGATGAGTCTTGGATTCACCTCACAACACACGTGTGGAATGCTTCTCCCAACATCTGATTATTGTGGTATTTCATTTAAGTATTTCTCCTATATTCTCTTTATAGAATTAGCCACACTACACACACTTATTCAGCTGCCTGCCTGTAAGTTAATGACCAGTTGGACAACATTACATTCTGCCCACCTTAGCAACACTTTAGTGCCATGCAAAAGATTCTTGTGACTTTTTTTTTGTTCTACCTCTTCTCCTTACAATAAATACCAAAATAACATTGGGCAAAGAGTATTTACTGCTTGAGGTAGATGCAGTCTCTCACTAAGTGTTGTCCCACTAAATTACCCCTTAGTTCATGCATATCACACTCCATGGGCTTTCCCTTTCTGACACTGTTCTCGGACAGGAGTTCATCTTTGTACTTTCTTTTTCTACACAGACCGCTTCATCATCTTCAATATTTCAGATGGATGCTTACATTTCTGCACAACTCCAACTTTTTCTTCTCAATTTTGGTGCATTTAGTTTGCCTCATCAAGAATGAGCCTATGTTCAAATGCTGGTGCTCATGGGGATTACTGCATATGGAGGATGTGTCATTCTGCTGTTAGTGGAGAGCTATAGTGTAATGATGATTGCATCATAGGTTGGCACAATATATTTTGGTATATGTAGGGGGAGGGAGCTTTGTTTAAGGCTTATAGAATGCATAGAAATTTACATGGCAGTGAATGTGAGGTTATAGCTCTCTGTGGTGCAGTGAAGTATTTTAAATCAGTTTATACTGAAGAGGATATTGAAAATGTACCACATTGTAAAAAGTGTACACTTGAATTGGCATTCCCTTTATTTATAATTTATAGGAAATCAATAGACTTATATCATTTTCCTTTGGATTGTAAATGTGCCAATGTATGCCTTATATTTGATAAAGGCTTGCAACTAGCCCCAGAAAAATATAGATCCACTGGTTTAACATCATATATTTGTAAAATATTTGAATCTATCATTAGATATGAAATTGTAGAGCATATGAAAGATAAGAAATTAATACTTTGAATCAAGATGAGTTCAGTTAGAAAGGTCATGTTTGACTAACTTACAAGAAATGTTTGAGTTTTGGACTAGTGTTATATGAAAGATATGGTATTGAGGTAGTTCACTTAGATTATAAATAGGCTTTTGAGACTGTTCTTATACATATTTTGTTGGTTAAAGCATGTGATTATGGAATTTTCAAAAGTGTGGAAATGGATCAGTGATTTTCCAAGTTATAGAACTATGAGAGTTGGGGGTGAGAGGAGAGTATTCAGAGTAGATAAGAGTAATTAGTGATGTTCCCCAAGGGACATTCATTGGTCAAAAATTGTTTATAGTTTATATTGATGATATTCCAAAATTTGTGATTTCTATCATGAAAATGTTTGCTGATGACAAAGGTTTTTCAGAAAAAAATATCAAATGATTCAGTAGGGATTTATTACAGAGAGAGAGAAATGTGGCAGTTGAATTTTCACGTTAAAAAATTTGAGATTATGCACATACGATAAGAAGATTCATTGATGAGTTATTACAGAACTGATAATTGAGAATGTCTTGTTTAAAGGAGATGTTGACCAGAAGGATTCTAGTATGTGGATTACTGATTCTTTAAAGAAAGAGAGCAATAAAGCAGCATAAAGAGCTTTGGAGATGTTAAGAAGTGTAACAAATAGTTTTAAAACAAGAGCTCATTCCACATTATATATAGAACGTATATTAGACTTCATACGGTTACCATATTATGAGAAGGATATCAAGTTATTGAAAAGGGTTGAAGAAAGAGCTGCCAAACTAGTAGATGGTGTGAAATAAAAGGAACATGATTTAGAAGGAAAATGAATAAAACTCTTAATTGATATGTTTTAGTGTGTGTTTTTAATTTTGAATTAATAGATTATACAAATAAACTACAACAGTTTAAAGAATTCTGGACCACTAAATGTCATATGTAAACACTATAGTGTCCTAAGAAAATCTCAGAAGCTTTTTGTATGATTTTGTTTCATTTTGTTTTTAAGTAGTGTCATCATACATCCTTCAGTGTTCTCATTACTGTTCTATATCAATTTTGAAATGTCAGTGTTTTACAGTTAAAATTATACAGAAACATTCAGATCCTTTACAAAAATACCTTATCAACTTTCATATAATATGTGAAGTATCATAATTTATAAGATACATGGTTTATTAAATTTGTTCCACCCTTATCTCATGAACACTATATTTACACTTAAAAGTTTTAAGCTTTATGCAACTCCGTATTCTTTATTTTTAAAGAAAATTTACTAGATCTATTGCCCATGCTAAAACTTATTCTTTCCCTTCTCGTATGTAAGTTTATCATGAGAAGTTTTATTTATACCCCTCTGTATGTAAGTTTATCTTGAGAAGTTTTATTTATACCCTTCTTGTATGTAAGTTTATCTTGAGAAGTTTTATTTATACCCTTCTTGTATGTAAGTTTTTCATGAGAAGTTTTATTTATACCCCTCTTCTTTAATTTTACAAGCATTTTGAAGGATGATTTTAAATTTTATTGTAACGTTTATAAAAGATTAGAATATCCTATTGTTGCAAGTAGAAAGTGTAAAAAATGTAAACACTTAAGTTTCTGAAATAAAACTAATTCACAATCTAACATTTTTTTAGAAGTACCCATTATGCTGATGTAATGATCTACTTTACAAATAAATTAATTTTTTTTGTAAAAAGGCTTATTTTTTCAGGATAAAACCAAAAGTAAAACAAGTACCTTGTAAAATATATTCACCAGAGTCGCTCTTGGAAAGAACATACAAAGTAAGTTTAGCTTGGCATATTGTAGACTTTACTTTCTTAGACATGCTCATTTCAAAGGTCAGTTTGATTATAATAATCATTTATATTATATAATATGTCCAAAAATAATTCTATGTAGAGAAGTACTGTTTAACTGGCTTATTTTTTTTTGTTCTAAAGTGAAGGTACTTATTTTGTGTCAGTAGATGGCAGTATTTTATTGTTTATAATGCAAAAATGAAAAAAAAATTAACCACTGTTGTTACTCATTTGTAGTGATATCTTCAAATTTCAAAATAAATTTACAATTTTAGAAAGTTACAGTAATAGTTATTGGTAAAATCTGATCAAGATGTACAGGATAAGGAGTAGAATCAAACTTATTTTACAATCTAACAAAGAGATAATTTTAAATATATCTTTTTTTAAATCTAGTTGTTGGTGTTTATAGGAATTATTTCGTTTCAGACCAAGGAAATTATACATCAGAAGTTCATCTGGAACATAACATTAATTATTAACATAAAATCAGTGTTTGAGTATGTATGTATTTATATATATATATATGTGTGTGTGTATGTTGGTAGACCAAGATACATTGTTTTATTAGTAGAGGAGCCTTTATGGAACAAAAATTTATTGTGAATAAATTATAAATGATCTGGTTTGTGGATGAATTACAATGTAATTTAATTTATATGAATAAATGGGATTAAAACATATGACACTGTTTATGTGTGTTTACAGTTCACAGCATTTTACTGTATTTTGCTTTAAACTAAAATAGTTTTGTGTCTTACAATATGCTAGGACCTAAGTATAATCTCTATATACAGAAAAGTAAATTATTAAAAAATTGCTAAATATCTAAAAAATAATTCTAGGTGAAGAGTATTATCGGGGTACACAATGGTTATCTCCAGGTTATAACATTAAATAGTAGTCTTTTATTGTGCAGTTTTAATCATTTAAACTTTGTAAAAAATATTTCTTGGTAGAAGTAGTAAGTAGTATTGTTATTTAGAATTATTTGAGAAAGGTTTAGGAATTTTGCCATCAAAACTAAGCTTGTTGCTTATTATTTAGGAGTTTGGCCAGTATCTTCTCACATGTTTGAATGTAACTCAGCAACTTTTAGGAGTTTACCCTTTCATTAAACTGGATCTGTTGCTGATGCCAAAATGTTTTGGAAGCCTTGGAATGGCAAGGTATGTATTCTACAATCTAGATTTTACAGTGTATTCTTAATTTCTCTGAAATACTGTCTATGATAAAATGCATGTTGAAACTATTTAATATAAAATTCTTCAATATTCTAATCTGAAAGAATTTGTACTCTCTATGGAAATGTATAACAGTGTGCCCATACGGTTATAGACATACATGAAATCTTGTTATAGAGAACACTTTTATTTATATAAGTGAGTGTAAATGTTTTCATTGAAGTTCTGAATCTTGGGGAACTTTGTGGAACTTGATTTGTGGAAGTAACTGGTCACACTGTAGCAGTCAGGATCAAAGAACAAATTGACGATATGGCCAAAGCCTTATAGTATGTATTATATGCATAATGGTTTGGACCAGTTTCCTATGGGCCAAAAGCACAAAGCCACTGAACTATTTGACTAATATTAATCACAAGAGATCAAAATTTGCGTGTCATATTTTCAATTGTCATGACTTGTATTGTCTAAATTTAAACAACCTAAATCTGTTGATAAGGCCTTGTCACAATGCTTTAACTGCATCAACTACTATGATTAACTTTCTCCTACTGTGCTTAACTTGCCATTGTAAGTTTCCATGATAGTTAAGTATTCAGTGTGACCTACCTGTTTTATAGGTATAGTAAGATTCCTTTCACAAGTTTTCTTTTCAAAAGGTCACAAATTGTTTACTGAACTATACTTATGGCAATATATCTGTTTTGGTTGAATTTAATGTTGTTTTTTGTTTATATGTGATTAACAACTTTTTAGGACAGTTTTGTTTCTTAGCTTTTTTCAACTGTTTAATTCTATAAGTACTAGTATTGTTTTTTATCATATTTTTTTTAAATTTTGAAAGTTTCTATTGTGGATTCATGAACAATAAACACTATTAAAATTTAACAGTTATATTTTCTTAGTAAAATATTTTTAGACCTGAAAATAAACAACATTAATGGAATATTTGTGTCAAACGTGTTTGATTAAAGTGTAAATAAAGTACAACATGCTCAGAAAAATTGGTTAATGATTAAAATGCTCTATGAGAAATATGAACAGCAATTTGTGTGTGTAAAGGGCAAACATATCTGGACATGATAAAGATAATAACATGATACATTACAACATATGTAAATTTTTTTGTTACAAAATTACTAATACGAAATTACTTTTTGATTTGTCTGATGTTACGTAATTTTGCTTTAAAGTATACCAATTTGTACATGTTTTCTTCATTTTGTAGTTTACCGATAGGGTACTTCCCTCCATTCACAAGATTAGCATGCCAGAAGCCTTCTGCTTCCCCCTATTGGAATCGAATGATTCATAACATGTCTCTCATGTAAATCATCATGTGTCACTTCTCCACCAATAGGAGTGTGACATACTCATGTGACACATGTGACTCCCTCTATACACCTCTACCGAACTATCACTTCTCGTTTGGCAGCACTTGTGCTCGGATGTGTTCCTTTTTGTTTGTTTAAAGTTTCACATTAGTTTTTAGTATACTCATGAAGTGATAATTTATTTTCACTTCTAGTTTCTATTAAGACTGTTTCTTAACTTCACTTTAATCCCAGTTTATTACAGTCTCATTGTTATTTATACTTTCAGTTATTGGTTGACTCTTCCTCATTATGAAGTTTATGTTTCACTTCAGGGGTCACATCTGCGACTAGCGCTATGTCTCAGGGCTCAGGTGCGGGCGACCCAGCGGGGGATTTAGCCATGTTTATTTGCAGGAAGATTGAACGTTACATGGGTCAACCTCTGTTTCCAAACCTCACCCCAATTTCTTCTGTACAAGCTAAGCCTATTCAGACAGACAAGGACTTAGATCACCTATTTCCTCCTCCTGATTTTGCCATGCCTTTCCATGCCTTGCCTGAGGAGTCATTTAGGTCTAATACAGTCTTTTTGGATTTGGTTTCTCAGGTATGTGGCGTTTTAGCCCATTCCCTATTTCCTAAGAACCGTGCTCTTCCTTACTACGCGACCAATCTTCCCATCTTTATTTGATTTTTACCCCCTCCCCGAATATTCGGGTACATGCTGACTAACTTGCCTCACAATTATGTGACGGGATTAGCATGCCTCGCCTCCCACGGGCTTTGGATCAGTTTGCTCTTGCATATCATCGGCAGACTCTCCTTTTATGGACCAGCAATTATTAGATTCCATGTTGCTTGTTTGGGGTGTGGCTCCCAAATATCCTGTAAGTCTGACCCATGTCTAATTTCCCGCCTTTGTCTTACCCTCATAACTCTTTTAGGATATCTCTCTATCATCCATCTCCTGTCTGATGCTCCACTGAAGTCCTGAGGGGGTTTTCTGGGGATATCCTCTCCCTTCTTTCCTCCACGTTGGCTTGTTTGTTGTCTTTGGCTCTGGCTTTACATACATGGTTTCCCTGTTGTTGGGACCTTGTAGGTCATGATACGACTTTAACTTGTATCCGTTTGCCATCATCTTATATTCAGGATTTATGTATGGCCCCATTTTTGTGGTCATCATACCTGTTCAACCCCTTTCACCAGGTTTTTATTCCAGACTTGTTGTTGTTCCCAAGAAAACCCAGGGAACCAGAGGCCTGTCATCGATTTATCCCACCTCAATCACTTCATTCAACTGCCTCGTTTTTACCATGGAGTCATATCTCACCCTACGGTGAGTGTTTTCTCCAGGCTTATGGATTATCAAGATGGACATTGCTAATGCTTATCTCCATGTCCCTATATCACCATGGTCTTTTCCATATCTTAAGTTGGTCTATCACGGGGTGGTTTATCAATTTTGTGTCCTATCCTTTGGGCTTGCTTCCACTCCTTATGTTTTCTGTCAGGTAGTCAGAGCTTTTTATCACCATCTTCGTGCGATTCCACCATTATATGGATGACTGGCTTCTTCTGGATAATTCCGAACTGGAGTTGGCCAGCCATATTTGTCAGCTCCTTCACGTGGCTGGTTAATCAAATTGGATACATCCTACCCAATATTTTATCATTTTTGGTGTTCTTCTTGACACTCATCTCAGTTAGGTCCAAACTTCTCCTCTACAACTTTGTTCCGTGGAATTGTTAGTCTGCTATACCCTTTCAGCTCCCTCACTTTCTGCTTGCAAGGTTCTATTGCTTTTGGAAATGTGGTCTTCATTGCTGTTGCTAGTCCCCTTTTGGTCATGTGCATATGCAATCCCTTCAGTGGGCTCTTCAAGATCAATCGAACCTTGCTTGGGATCTCCAGTCCGCTCCCGTTACCCTTCCTTCTACCCTGATGGATGATCTACAATTGTTGTTGGACAAGGCTCATATGTCGGCGAGTGTCTCGCTTCCTTCTCATCATCTGGATTTACATCTTTTCATGGATGCATCCCTTCAGGGCTGGGGTTTTTGCATATCAACAGCCTCAAGCTTCTTGCAGTCCATTGAGCTTTGAATCACTTATTCCTCACACCATACATTGTCTGGGAATCACAGACAATTCTATGGTGGTAGCACATATCAATCAAGGGGGCATCCAATCAAAATATCTTTGTTTTTGGATCTACTATATTGTGATCACATGCACCAGATTAATCTCATTGCGTGTCGTGTTCTGTGTTCTTTCAATCTCGAAGTGGATCGTTTTTCCCTTCCAGACCAAATATATCTGATGGAGTGGTCTTTAGATCTCCTTCTTTAGCAGTGGCTTTTCCCCATGTAGATGCATTTGCCACATACTTCAATCACAAATTACCCCTCTTTTGGCCCCCGGCACCTCATCCTCAGGCTCTGGCAATGCCTTCCGCCAGGATTGATCCCACAAATTCCTTTATGTTTATCCCCCTATCCAATTACTTCATTGGATGATCTTTATCATCCATACCACTCTGTGTCAAGTCCTTCTGATCGCTCCTTACTGGCCAGCTCAACCATGGTTTCCACAATTACAACTGCAACTTTTCTCTCCAGTACCTCTTCTTTGTCTCCCTCTCTTCTTCGTCAACCTCAGTCACCAGTTCTACATTCAGGCATTCATTTTCCTTGTGTTCCATGTTTCACCTTTCCCTTAAAATGCATTTCCTTCTTCTTTCAGCCTGTGGACATCGAAAGTTTGATTTCTTTACCGTTGACGTTTCACGTACGCTTTACCACCCTACCTATCTTCTCTTTTATCTGGATCGTACCTTCCTCGTAAAGACCTTAACAGCTAGGGAGGGTAACTCATCTATTGTTTTACCCACTTTTAAAACTTCATCAGATGTTCGGATCTGACGCATGATGATCTACATGAAAGACACGTTGGAATCATTTAATTCCAATAGGGGGGGAGCAGAAGGCTTGTGGCTTGCGTAAATAAAAAAATTGCATATACAGGGCAGTACTGGACAAGAATAGTTAATCTTGTGAGAGGAGAGAGGTACCTATCAAAAATACATTTTCAGTATAGGAAAAAGTATATCTTTTGAGCATCTCACATTTTATAATGTAATACATGTTGGACATTAAATTAAGTCTTCAAAAGTGCACAGGTTACTAGTGTAATTTTTTTCTTATTTGCTCAAATTATCATATTAATAATAAGAAAATTTACAGCAATCAAGTTTGTTGTGTAATTTTTGTGTGTAATGAAATGCGTGTTATAAGTAATTTTTATACAAGTTTTGTTTTAATCATGATTATTTAGAATAATGTTAATGAGCTGTACTAGAATAAATAAGCTTAGGTATAGTTTGATGTTACTAGTATTTCCTTTTCTTTTCATTTTACAGTCCAAACTTGATTTTCCTTTCTCAGTCTTTATTGGCTGGAGATGGTAGCATGTGCAGCAGGCTAGCACATGAAATTGCACACTGCTGGTTTGGACTTCTGATTGGAGCTTTTGATTGGACAGAGGAATGGCTTAGTGAGGGTTTTGCCACATTTCTAGAAGACATACTTCATGCACTGGTACTTCAAGTAAGACAGTACAGCACCTTGTTCTATTATGTTATTAAAATGTACTAATTCTGTATGTCTAAACTTTAAATGCAATCGTTTTCATTGAAATAAAAATACACTATGTGTATAACTGCAGTGTACAATACAAGTTTTTGTTGTTTGTATAAAGTACTTATTATTGACATAATTAATGTTCACACATTATTTCTTCTGTCTCTACTGCAAACAAAGCAGTACACATGTTTTCAAACTATGGTACTCCCCTCTCTACAGAACAATTTGCTAGAACCTTGGCACAATTTTAACTGGATACTCAATGTTTTGCTTTACAACTTCTTCATTAAAACACAAACTGTAAGCTAACAGTACAAAGTTTCAAATGATTTAAATAATAAATCTGGTGTTATAAGATCGTTTATTTCTAGTATTAAAACATCTTCTATACACCAATACACACTACAGAAATTAAATACTGATCTTGGCACTACTGCTGAAAAGATTTTGTATATATGTCAAACCATTGAAAAGAGCTCTAATCTGTGCATATAATAATGTGTACTGAATACATTTTTATCTAAGGAAAATGTTTTACTTTAAATATAAATATATCAAACAATACATACCTATAGTTCAAAATTAATGACATCTTGTTAATAAACTTTAGAATGAAAAAAATAGTTGTTAGATTTTTTGTATTTATGAGTTTATATATATATATATATTAGGTGTCCAAACAAGTTGGTTTTAATGCATCAATGGTTGGTTAGTTTCTTGCTCATGCTTTCATACAACAGCACATACACACTATACATATAATTTATATACTTATTCTTTAACTCATGAACATAAATTTTGTATTTCATAAATTGTATAATTGTTGATTTTTGTGCTAATTCTGAAATTTAATATGTGTAAGATTATTTATTTATTTAAAAACTCTTGAGAATGTACATTGTAATATATTTTTTGGTCATGGTTTCCAGGAATTTCAAGAATCCTAGGAGTTTGTGCTCATAAATTGGATATGTTTTATTTCATGGAAACATGATTATATAAATACAGTTATTCATAAAAAATGAGGAACAAACATAAATGTATACAAAGTCTATAATATCTGGTGTTTATAATTATGTATATATCCTTTTTATTAAATATCCTAAATGTAATGCATAAAATTTTTAATATTTGAAATTATTTTCTATTAATAAAATAAGTGATTTGATTTTAAAGCTTCCTCTTTAATAGTTATTTCAGTTTGAAAGAATTTGCAAAATGCATTTATTTTTTTAAATTAAATCGTGCAATAAAGCAATCTTGTTTTATCATAAAAAAAATAGAAGCTTTTGAGGGTTTTGAAATTTTACCAAAACTTTGGTCACAGAAGAAACCTATGCCTCTATTTATCCTACTTTCCTGTCAAATGCACTTTCAAAATATTAACAAGGATTCACTATCATTCTTGATATTTTAAAATTTATGTTCTTGAAATGTTTAAATCATGTATATATTTTTCTGAAGCTTCTTTATGTTGGCTTGTACAAGTATTTATATGCTCATTTGGTGCTATTTTATTTGCTGTAGCTAAGAGAAGATGAACAGAAAGAACAAAATGAACTAAAATATGCTCTGCGGTTACGAATACTGAAGGCAGAACTGATTAATACTGAGGAGGATCTCCAAACTCTTAGGTAGATCTTACATAAAAAATATCATATTATAAATAGTGTGTAAGCAATTCTATAAATGCTGTAACATTTTAAAACATGTTCAAAGCATAAACTTTTCTAAAGGATAATAAAAAGAAAGTAATTTAAAAAATGTGATTGTTCTCTTAATTTATAAATACTATTGTAAGAGCTACTTACATCTGACAAATGTTAACTTCAAAGTTTTTCCAATGCTACATCATGAAAATAATATCATACTCAGTCTTTTCTATACTTTAAATTAAAATTGAATGACTTGTAAAAAGGAAATAGAATAGTTTAGATATTTTGGATAAATTATAGAAGTTTTTTTTTGTATTTAATCTACTTTTCTTTAGCTAGTGAACTTTGAACCAATAAAACATTAATTGAAGGGAAATTTTGTGCCGTGGACTTAAAACAGGTTAAATTAAACTTGAAATGTTATTGCTACTTTATCTGATGTTTATTTACTGTTAATCATAATCTAAAGTCAGCAGCTGTGAGACGTAATGTGGGTTATTTTGTAATTTGCTGAGGTATTTGTCACACATATGAGCATCAAATGAAAATCAAGCATGAAAGTGCAGATTGCTACTAAATTCACTGAAGTCAATAACAAACTGGTAAAGGTTAAGCAGGAAAGTGTAGAACACTGTTGATTTCATTGAGATTGGTGACTCTTAAACATGACAAAAAGTATGGAGAAAAGTGATTTCAATTAGATTGTTAACCAAGCAAAAACATTATACAGAAAAGTGAGAATCACTAATGATTTCAGTGAGATTGGGGACTGTCAACACTTTCTGTAGCAAGGTTGAAAGTGTGCATGTCATGACCTTTTACAAAGTTACATTCAAAATTTAATTAAACAACTTTATTATCAATATATGTCAATAAAGTTAACATCAGAACATAATTTATAATTCAAATTTTTATATTACCTGAGCTTTATTTTTTTAATTTCAAAGGGAAGTATTTAAAAAATTCTAATTTTTCACTTTTCTGTATCACCTGATGTGTCTGTGCTCTGAATTCTCCCCTTTAGATTCTATATGTTCAGTGATATGGCTTTCAAGGTGTCCAAACAATTAGAAACACAAACTGTATGTAATTACAAGCAAGAATACAAAATTTGAACCTTTTACTTTCTCAATTTGCTGAGATATCGATAAATTTATGAAACCCACCAGAGAAACCTCTTCCATCTGTCATAGTCTTTCAAGAAAACTATATAAACATCTGTATATTGCTGATGGATGTGTTTATAAACAATAGAAAGAGCAGGTTCTTTCTATAAATCTCAAGATTCCTCTTTTCGACTTATGCCTGTAAAGCCAAAGTCATTGGAATTCTTTGGTTGTTTATAAGGCCTATTCTTTGCTCTGAACATTTAAAAAAATTTTTAATATATTTATAGTTTACTTAGAAAGCCAGATAAGTTATTGTAGTTTAGTTTTGGACATTTTATTCTACTGACGGATATATATGATTTTGTGTTCTAAAATGCATTTTTTGAAGCTTCATGAACTATTGTTTGGATAACCAACTTAGTGAGAAAAGATTAGGGTTACTGAAGCCATGGCTTTCAAGAGCAAAAGTACTAAATTTCTTGTTTATGTATATGTAACCAAAGTAACTAAAATATAAAAATTATAAACTATTTATTTTATCTGAATAAAACATATAAAATACACTAGCAGAATTGTATGATTTCCCGTGTATGTAAAATTTGACACTTGATACATTGAAAAGAAAAAAAAAGATATTATTTATTTTATTTCATGTTTTCCAATTTTTTATTTCACTATACATTGACAATTTTGCTACATTTTTAGTGTTAAAATAGAGAAAATAAGAGATAAAGTTTTACCAAAAACAATTTTTGTATTTATTTAGAGAGTGTTAGAGGTTATGCAAATAGAATATGAAAACAGTAAGGTGAAAATTAATTTTTATTCTTAATATGAAAATCACCTCAGACTGATTCAGTAAAGGTTTTGTAAATTAACAGACAAATCTTTAATAAAAGCCTGATTAGTTGTTTACAACAAACTGGTTTAGTAAAAGCTTGCCAAATTTCATGAGGAAACACGTAGTACATTTAGAGTTATATATACTTTCACCGAAGTCAGTATCAATGAAACTAGTAAAGTTTATGGAGAAAAATTTGGAATGCTTGATTTTACTGAGTTACTTGACTGATAAATGAACAGAAACCTGTGGATTCCTGCTGAATTTTCTGACTTTTAAACAATGGAAAATGTGAGCAGGAAAATGGGGATCACAGCTTTTTTCATTGAAATTGGGGGACTGTTAAACAGGAAGCAATTTATCAGAAATATGTGGGTCTCTGCTGATTGTACTGAAGTCAGTGATGCTGAAACTGGTAAACATTAAGCAGGAAAGTGTGGAACACTGCTCATCTCACTGTGGTTCTTGATGGATAAATAGCAGAAAGTCAGCAGAAAAGCTGATATCACCGAGACTGGTGACTGTTAAATGCCAAGAGGTAAACAGAAATGTGTGTATAACTGCAAGTTTATTGAAGAAATATATGTTTCATTGCTTAGTTTACCGGGATTGATTACTGGTACAGGAAAACACTTAGTAAACTTAGTAAATAGACAGAAAAACACTTAGTAAATATTGAAATTGTCAATACATGATACTGAGAAGGGATCCATACACTGAAAAATCTCTCAAAGGAAGCTAGCTAGTTAAGAAATTTTATTGTGTATTATCACACAAATTTTATCAAAAGATGCTGAGTAGCAAAATCACTTAGAGAATTTCAGAACAATATTACAATCTTCTGTGTACTAGTTGTACATTTTAATTTTGTCTTTCTTTTTTGTGGAATATTGGATTTGTAGCAGTCTAAAACTTTGAAAAGAATTAAATGTGCATTGTTCCTTTTAAAGAATTTCTCAGCTGTAAAATATTGTTTTTCTTAGAATGAATAGCAAACTGCAAAGTGAAGAAAAGACTGGAGGAAGTTTTGTGAAGAATGGGATGAATCCATTTAAAACTTTCATTCAGGTTCATTACTTGAAGGTGAACTGTATTTTGAACTTTGATGTTCATCTCAAAATCTAAAGCTATATAAGCTATTTTGATAAATACAAAAGGTGTACATAAAAGAAAAAATGAAGTTTTATGCTATTTTGTTAGACTTTCTTAAGGATGAAAAAAATGAATTTCATGATTAGATTAGATTTTAATATTTGTTTTAGTAGAATATAGTTTTAGAAAACTTACGAAATAAGTATTGAGCTTCAACAAAAACTACAACTTTAAGAAAACTTCAGACCTTTTGAAATGTTAATTAAAATCAATTTGCTCGGCTTTCTGTCTGATTAGACACATGAATTGAAGTGCCATGAATTTTACTACACTATAGAAGGTATTATTATTATTTGATTATCCACTTTTTAAACGAATTTATGTAAATTTTAAAAGATTTAAATTTTTTTTAAATGATCATCACATTTTTACCATTTTATTACAGTTTTATTATGATTAATGAAGACACAATACAGAATATTTTTGTTGGTAATTGTTACTTGTAGAAATAATAATCTTAGCTGTATTTACAATAAAACTTTTACAATAAAGTTATTTCTTCTTTTTTAAATCTTTTAGAATATTATTTTCAAAAGATATCAAAATATGGAACTGTAGACACATAAGTTGAAGTTTTTTCTGTATGTGTTTAAACAGAGTTAGTCTTTAAATCATTAATTCTTATTCTGTAATTACTACAGGGATATTTTCTTCTGCGTTATCTATCTGGTTTGGTTGGCCTTAACAACTTCTTGAAATTTCTGCAGGATTTTGTTGAAAAGTTCCAGCACCAACTTGTGCTGTCACAGGTAACACGGTTAATTTTATATAGCTTGATAGTAAGTTTTTCTTCATTCATGTATGTTTTTTTCTTTCATTCTATATATTTTTGTAACATGTTTATAATTTGTTGTGCAGTCATTGATCTGCTCAAAGTGATTACATCCTCTTATTTTTTGTTTTAACCTCTAGGAGGTCTTAATCTTTTTCTTCGAGTCATTTCCTTGTCTTGCGTAAGTAAACACATATTTCATTATCACTTTAAAATATTTTTGTCTTATACTGATATGAAAATACTTTAACATTGTAGTCACTAGTGTAATGAACCAAATGAAAGTTAAATGTCTTGAATTTGAGCTCTAGTTACTCAGTTTGTAGAACTTTGATCTCAATACATTAATGTGAGCTGGAGGTCCTGGTTTCAAACATCAGTCAAAGTAAATTGCCTTACACCTATTTCAGATCTCTACAACTGAAACACAAAATTAGTCTTTTTGCATTGTGCAATGTGAATTAATAATTATGAATAATGTAAATAGAGATAAAAGATATAAATTTATTCATTGAAAGTATGGGACAAAGTTACTGAAGTATGTGATATACCATGAGATTATTAAGATTCACTTAGCAAGTTATGATGTACAGGTGATTATAAAAGAAAAAAAAGTTAGAAATACCTTAACTACTTGTAATTAAAGGGGTAATTAAATTTCACCAGAGATGCACTGAAAATCATAAGTTTTATTGAGAAAAGCTTCAACATGATACATGGGAAGAAATATGTAATGATCCAGGTGAAGAGTTTTCTGCTTGGAAGATGAGTCCTGGTAACTTTGCTAGTATAACTTGATTTCAGAGCATTAGTGTGAAGTGGGGGTTCTTGATTCAAGCTCCAATTAGCTTTTCAGATCATTACCACAGATTGCAAGAAGATCATTAATTTATTTGTAAATATTTATAAACAGGTGCATTTTATTCATTTTAAACAGAGATCAGGCTTCCCACAGGTGGGAGCATTTTGCCCCAGGCCCCCAATTCAAACAGGTCCCCAAAAATATCGATTATTATTTATTAAAAATAAAAAAATATGTTTTTATTTACTCTAAATATTTAACATTATACCTTTATACAGGGTGTCTGCTGTTTGAAAGGCTTAGTTAAACTTAGATGTTATAGACAGATTTAAAGAAAATTGTGAGGCTAACATAGTATTAAATTGATGAACAATTGGGTATTTGGTTTAGAGAGAAGAACTTGTCTCCTGAGGTTATAGCTAGCACCTGGCTAGATACTCCAGGTTTACCCTCAGTAAGTAAGTTTTTAATATTATTCAAAGACAAAAAAACATTTCAAATAATTGTTTATAAAGAGACTGGAAAAAACAAGTTAACGTGAATTGTCAATATTATCTTAATTATAGAATTTATGTTTTAGAAGAACAGCTATAGAAGTAAATGATTAATGCACATTATTTTGAAATAATATTAGATTTAAGGTAGTTGTTAGATTTGCAAAACTGAGGCAAGTGTTTTGAGTTATCTCAAACAAGTAAAAGTATTTACCTCCAGTGATGGGAAATGTTTAAGTTAATCTAATCTACAAATTTAAATTATTTCATGGACATGTTTAATTGTGTTGAACTCTTGGTTTTAGTCAGAACCAAAGCTCTTGCTGCTTAAACTGTCCACTGCGAAAAGTAATTATTTAGCATTTCAGTCATGCTAAGAGTCGCTCAACAGTAACATACAGTAAATCTACATGTTTATTCTTTAAGTTGTCACATTTTGAAATGTGAATGATAGTGTGATTAATTCCTAATGATTTAGTGTAGAATATCCTGCTTGCGAAATAAAATTTGGCATCAACATTATTCATGTCTGGTCTCCTGTCATTTCAAAAGTGAATATTGAGTTTTGCCTGCATGTGCAAACGAGAGACAGACGAATGCTCAGACAGATACCACAGCTTGCAATATATATATAAAATAGCTGCAATTAAGATTTATACAAAATAATTTTGTGTTTACAAAATATTTCAGTACCATGTGGAAAAGAGAAAGGTTACGAGTATGTAAAAGAGAGGTATATGTATGTTAAGGGATGAGAACATGTTTTATCACATTGACTTTTTTATTTAAGTCGTAAGCTTTTATTCATAATTTTGATAATCATCTTTAGGTATTTCTGTATGCAGACTGATGGTCCGTCATTTCACTCTTAATTAATTCTATAAGTTTGTACAGATTCATAAACACCTGAAAAAGGTTGTGAAGCCATGAGCAAAAGCTTGTGTAATAAAAAAAAGAAATGTCTATTTTTGTCTGAAGAGGGAATATATGTCTTAAAAATATGATAGCTGAAGTACTATAATTTGAGATGAATTATAAATGCAAAATATATTTATAAGTGTTAAAGAATGAATTGTAATTTACTGTTTATTCATTATGCAGGCACATTATGTGTACCTATACAAAACCCAAATTCTCACAGACACACATACACATGGTAAACAATCATTACTGCATTGAATGTTTTGATTTTAATTTTTAGGTATAAAAATTAATTTAGAATATAAAAATGTTTAGTTGATAATTAAGAATATGAAAAACTTTATTCTCTGCAGAAATTTCCAAACTTTTGTGAAAAAAAAAAATTATGCTATTTGCACTTTGCATTCTTTATTTAAAAATGATGATGTTTGTACTTTCTGTTCTTGCTCTTTAGAAAAAAAATTATGATAAATATTTTGGTTTCTCTATTGAAAATGATGATGTATGTGATTTGTTTTCTCTAGTTACAAAGTGATGATGTGTGTGCTTTGTCTTTCAGGAAGCTGAAGAATTTAAGCCATCTTTAGAAAACCGTTTATACTCATTAGTCATACAACAGGTGAATAGAACACATGCTAAATTATCAGTTAATTAACTATTTAGAAGTTCTGAGTCAGCAATAATAGAACTACAAAATAACTGTAACTTTTGAGAAGTTAATGTTACGTATAGAAAATTTGCAAAAACTTGATGACGCACTGATTTATGAAGGTATTGACCCTGAAAATTATTTAGAAACTGGAGTACTGATTGAGCAATGTACAAAAAAAAACATGTAAAGAGAAGTAAACAGGCAGAAACTGAAACTAATATTTGCCTTAAAAAATAAACTTCACAGTCAGTGAAATAAAATTGTATGATTTATAAAATAATGTAATGGCAATCTATGATACAAATGTTTCTTATTGACCATTTTGTTTTGGCTTATCTGTTCATATACTTTAATGTTGTGTATAGATAGTTGTTTTACACACATTTAGGTAAGTGAATTATTTTTCAGTTGATCATGTGATGTGGATTCTAACAGCACTAGTCCAGCTTATTTTTGTCAGATGAAGTGTTAGTTTTAGTAATGTTATTTACGTTTCAGAAAAATAATTAGTCCTTTTTTTTGTGTGCCTTGAACAGCCAAACAGGCTGAGGACAGCCTTGAAAGAAAAGAATGGATTTAAAGGAATTATATTAAATATATATTTTATTTTGTTATATTAGACTTGTGAAAATTAACCGCACACAAAGTCATTTCCAAAATATAAATTTTCATACAAACATTAATCAAAAATAAAATGTCAGAAAATAAAACATTCAAGACATGAGATTCATTATAGTTTTTATCAACTTGTGAATTCATTGTATTTTTACTATAACTTTGTAGTCTTTACATTCAGGAATTTAGTTTTGAATAGTTATTTTAGGTGATTTACCTTTGAGCAGTTGTTTTCTTTTGCACACTACTTAATTTTTTTTTTTTTTGGTATTCTAGACTAGCAGATGGAAAAGTCTAAATGAATGCTTGCTGAAAAAGACCAAAAGGAAATTCAGAAGATTGAAAGTGAACTTAAGTGACTTTGTTGAGGTATTTAATAAATATTGTATTTATACTATGAGGATCATTTACATGTGCTATAGAAATCTAGTATATTATGCAAATTTTTAGTCCAGAATAGCTGATACTTAGAAAAGGTTTTTTATTTGTGGATTCTTTCATATCTTGAAAGAACACCCTTAAATGTTGCCAAAATTTGCTTCGTTTGGCTTTTTATAACAAAACTAATAGAAAAACCTTTTATTTAAAGAGATCAGTTTACAAAAGTCTAAAATTTCAGTATTATATCAACCCTAATTAAATATTGATCACTTCAAAGCTAGTTAGTCATATGACATTTGAAGTTGTACACAAGAATATTGTGTTGAAAGCATGATGATTATGTTAAAAAACAAGTTTAATTTCTCCCATTTTATTATAATATTGTGTCATCTGATTAAATGTGCTTTGAGATTTACCAAGTCAAATTTTGTATATATACATATATATAAATCTATAAATGAGTTGAGGCTGGGATGGTTTTGTTTTATACTGGTATGTTTCCTACCAATATTCATTTAATTCAAGTGAAGTGGAGCCTCCCAGTAGCTCAGCAGTAAGTATGTAGGCTCATGATTCTAAAAGTTGGGTTTAGATACTTGTGCTGCCCTCTATGTTCACAATATTCTTTGGTCACTAGCCTTGATACTCCCACTTACCCTTATGTATTTACACATGGTATAGCTGTGCTGTAGCATGCAACAACCCTCCACCAATAGGAGTGTGACACCCTCTTACTGCAGCTGACTCTGTACTGTAGAGTACTTTCATTACTTATTGTTTTTGTATTCCATTGTGCACTCACACTCTAATTTTGCTCTGCATTTTTTCATTTTTATGAGCAATTTTCAGTTAACCTTATTGTGTTTTGGCAACTTAGTTTGTTTTCATTTTATTTCTGTTTACTTAGTTTCTTGTGGAATATTTTCCTCTTAATTTCCACATCATGAATTTTCACCTTAACACCACTACAACGACTTCAGTCATAAATCAGGCCACTACTGATCCACCTACTACTTCTCTGGCTTTGGGATCCACACTTTCTGCTAAGGGGGTTTTGGCTATGTTACATCACAACTTTGAAACTCTCTTGCAACATACTATGTTTCCAGAAATACAGTTTGATATCCTGTTCCCAGGTGAATCAATTGGGACAACAAGCATTTGGACAGCCTCTTTCCACATCCTTCCTTTGCAATGTAATCCCATGCTATTGTTTTGGATTTATCTTGTCCTTCGTCTGCCTTTTGGGAAATGATTTCCCAGGAATGTTACCTTGTCTGTTTCCCCTTTGTTGTTGTTTGTTATTAAGCACAAAGCTACACAAAGGGCTATCTGTGCACTGCCTACCATGGGTATCGAAACCCAGTTTCTAGCAATATAAGTCCGCAGACATACCGCTATGCCACTGGGAGCATTTCCCCTTTCTCTTTTGATTCTTCCCCTCCCTCCTTTATTCTGCAGCTTCATCGGATTATTTAGTGTTCTCCCCTCTCCTGATATTCAGATCCATGCTGATCAATTTTTAGCCCAATTACATTCTGACATTACGTTTATCTGATTCCTGTACTTTGCTTATCATAAGCCAGATTTTAGAGTGGTTTTCAGCAGATACTCATACCCTTTTCTTTTCCATGTTGGCACGCTTATCTTCCTTAGCCTTATCCCTCCATACATGGCTCCTTTGTTGTTGGGATCTTCTTAGCACACATGCATTATCCTGCTTCCTATTTAAGATACCTCATTTTAGTACCCTTATTTGCACAAGTCTGTATTTGGGGATCTTTCTGATACATTGGAGTCTAGGGTGAAGGCTACACTTCCTTCACTTCATTTCCTTCTACGGGAGACTGCTCATGTGGGATGGCTAGTGAAACTGGAGAAGACCTATCTCAACCCCTCATAGTATCTGATCCATTTGGGGGTGTTTTTCAAGGTGTGCAAGGTTCTTTCTTTCTTTGGGGCCTGAGCATCCATGGAAGCCCCTGTTCCTTTGGTTCCTCCACACTTGCATGGTCTTCAGTGGGTGTTGCACTATTAATGGAAACTTGTGTAGGATCTCTTGGATTATATCATCCTCCTTCCCTCAAGTAGACTTTGCCTGGTGGCTCAACAGAGACAACACCTAAGCTGGTGTTTTCCTGCTTCCTCCCCATCCCAAATTGCACATGGTCACAGTGTTTGACAGTGGTAAAATCTTCCCTGTACGGCAACCTATTGGAACTCATTGCAGTTTGTCAGGCCTTGTATCATTTCCTACCTCTGGTATGGGGACATTTGGTCATGATCCATTCTGACAATTTGACTGTTGTTTCTTATATCAATCAACAAGGGGGACACCCATGCACATTCCCTTTGCTTTCAAATGTTGGATCTCCTTTTCTGAGCCCAGGCTCAGCAAGTCTGCCTTCTTACTTGTCATGTCCCAGGTGCTATAAATCTTGTTGTGGATTGGTCTCTTGCTCCCTAAGTTTTGGTGGTTATGCTCCCAGTTTGATACTCCTCTTCTGAATGCGTATGCCACTCATTTCAATATCAAACTGCCCATATTTTGGTCCCCAGTTTCATATCTTTTAGCTTTGGCAGTAAATGCTTTCAGTCAGGATTGGACCATATTTTACCATTAAGCCTATCCTTCTATCTATCTTCTCCGTCGATAGGTGATTCCTGTACATAGTAAAGGAACCTCCCAGAGAAGGTTCTATACTTTCAGTTTACCTCCTCTGGGATCTGAACATCCACCCATGCATTTGCCGTGTGTGGTGACCCATGAATTGGAGGAAAGGATCTTGGTGGTTGAGTGGTGTCTGGGGCACTGCAATACACCACTTTGGCCTTGAATTCCTGTAGACGGGTGTCTTTGGGGTTGCACCTAAGGGTCAATTGGCTGGTCCTGTTGGGCTGATATTGATGCGAGGGATCATTCCATAGAGCGTATGCTCTTGTGTCACAACCTATCTCTCTTCAGTACTGGTACTTATAACTATTTTCATGCAACTAGTCAGTCTTTTATTGCCATTGGTCTATTTGTCTGCTCTCCTTCACATTTTTCTTGCTTTTCTTGGGGAGTTGACAATTACCCATGGGGCAGTGATCATTTTGATGGAGATTGACCGTAGTCGATGTCACCTGACCCAAGTACCATTATGGAACTTGGAGTAGGTCAACTAGCTCTCTTTCACCTCTCTTAGAACTTGATCCTGTTGTCATTAGTCTTCAATCTATTAATGACTGCATGGAGGCGGTAATTGATTGCTTCATTCAAGCAACTATTCATTCTATACCAAAAACCTCGACACATTTTCCACGGCATTCTCGTCCATGGTGGTCTCCAGCCTGCCAGCAGAAACAGGCCTGGGATATTTTTCGCAGGTATCCCACTCTTTCCAACCACATTGCTTTCTAGCAGGCCCGTATCCATTCTCGGCTGGTCAGACATCAAAGCCAAAAAGAATTTTGGAATATGTTCAAACTAGCATCTCTTACACTGCCAGTTCCAAAGTCATGTGACAAGATTCGGAAAGTCAATGGCAGGTATTCTTCCTACCCTCTTTCTGTCTTGCTCTCTAATGGACAGGAAGTTGCTGATGTACAAAACATCGCTAATACTCATGGTGAGGGTTTTTCTCATGCATCTGGCACTTCTGTTTCTTCCAATGCCTTCTTGGCTATCAAGTCTCGGGCAGAATGATTGCCTTTTTCCTTTCGGGCTGATTGTCTCTATGACTATATATCACCACCTTGATGGAACTCAATTTTGCCTTTCATCTCTCTCTTGCTGGTTGTTTTTAACTGGATCTGGCAGGAAAACAATTGTCCTGATGCTTGGCACTAGGCTATTATCCTCCCTTTCTCTAAGCCTGAGAAGGATCCCAAGATTCTAATTATTGTCCAATTGCTTTGACTAGCTGTCTCTCTAAGGTCTTAGAGAAGATGGTTAATGCTCGTTTTGTTTGGTATCCTTGAATCAAACAACCTCCTTCCGCCTACACAGAGTGGGTTCCATCAAAAGCGTTCCACCATGGACCACCTGTTCTACTTGAAACCTCGATCAGGGAAGCCTTCCTCAAAAGAGAACATCATCTTTGACCTTGAGAAGGCTTACGACACTATGTGGAGGTACGGCATTTTGCGTGACCTCCACTCATATGGGTTGTGTGGCCATTTACCCATTTTTATTCAGAACTTTTTGCTGAACAGGCGATTCCAAGTCCATGTACGTTCGACTCTTTCCCGTTCTTTTACACAGGAATTTGAAGTCCCTTAGGGCTGTGTCTTGAGTGTCACACTTTTCAGTATATAGATTAATGCTGTCACTACACATCTTCCTCTTACTGTAGCAAACATCTCGTATCGGTCGTCAAACATGAGGTTTATTGAGAGGCAGCTTCAGACTGCCCTCAACCACTTTCCCGTTCTTTTACACAGGAATTTGAAGTCCCTTAGGGCTGTGTCTTGAGTGTCACACTTTTCAGTATATAGATTAATGCTGTCACTACACATCTTCCTCCTACTGTAGCAAACATCTCGTATCGGTCGTCAAACATGAGGTTTATTGAGAGGCAGCTTCAGACTGCCCTCAACCACTTGTTGAAGCGGACCACAGCAAAGGTTTTACCTTTTCTTTTTCAAAAACCATTTGCCTACACCCCAATCCTTCTGTCTCGGTGATGTCGTTCTTCCTATGGTTCCCGAGGCAATGTTCTTGGACTTATCTTTGATTGTAAGCATACTTTCATTTCTCGCATAAAGCAGCTATGTGTCAAGTGTACAAGGGTACTGAACATCCTCCTTGTCCTCTCTTCCACCTCTTTGGGAGTGGATCGGTGTTCTAGGCTCAAGATCTATCATGCCTTCATTCAATTTGAACTGGACAATGGGTCTCTGGTCTATGTTTCTGCTAGGACCTCATCCTTGAAGATGCTGGACCCCATTCACCATCTGGGGGCTTCAGTTCTGCATGGGGGCTTTCTGCAATTCTCCAGTCCAGA